CCTGCATGCAGGCCTGGGGCTTACTAGCTCCCACACAGCCAGTCCTGCCCTTGCCCTGCTGGCTCCAGACTCCCCCCAACAATTGTCTCTCTTTCCCCCTGGGAGGGGCATCTCACTCCCTATGGGCTGCCAGGCAGACTCTGGCCCTGGTAGGGAGGGGAAGCCAAGGCAAACTCAGAGCCTCTCCCTGAGCTGCCAGCAGACAAGGCCTCGGGAATGCAAGTAATCTCCTTGGGGGTTACACTTTCATAAAAATATATTTGGTAAATTCATCCATGCACCCAGAGGAAATTTTGTATACACATGATCTTCCTCAAAGCCCATATTCAGTAATTGTTATGTTCATGGCTTACAAACAGAGAAATTAGATACATAATATGGCAACATTCTTGTTGGATGGTTGCAATGTAGATATTTTATTTCTTAGAATTTGGAACAACATAAGTAACCCATAAACAGAGAGAGACAAAACAGGTTGCTTCCTAAAAGAGAGGCACAATCCACTCCACCTTACTCTTGGCTGTGGCTGTTCATTGTTTTCTGCTAGGCCCAGATTATATGCTTCCTTACATAGTCCTGGCCTGCAAGCAGGTTCAGGAAAAATCTTGAAAGCTTAGCCTCATTTGCATATTTTCTTGCGCAAGAGAGGGCAGTGTAGACGTAGCCTTGGTTTATATATTGCCCATCATCATATCACTAGGTTCGGTTCCTGGCCCACGGGCCCAAAGAGAAGCAACTATGATGAGCTAGTGAAGAGTGTAGTCGCAATAATAAAAATGAACAGTCCTAAACAGAAAAACCTAGCATAATCTGATAGACATGGCAGTTTATACATGTGCTGTTGTCTCTGAGGGTATGTCTACACTACAAAGTTAATTCGAACTAACGGATGTTAGTTCGAATTAACTTTGATAGGCGCTACACTAACCGAAAAGTGAAAGTAGTTTGGAAGTGGCTTTTTTGGTGACCCCTTCCCCTTTTCGAAAAGCCACTCTTCCTCAAAAAATTAGTTTTACGCAGCTTTTCAAAAAAGGAGATCTTGTGGAATTTGCATATCCTTTTTTAACACTTTAGCATAATCTAGATAAACCCTTAGCAATTATTAGAGGTAGGGCTATACAAAATAAAAGTTCCACATATATTAGAATGAATTATGAACTGAATTTTCTTTAGCTGAACTCATGTTCTTTTATGTATTTTGCTTTGCTTGCACATTTTAGCAAAAGTTAATTATGCACCTGATCTAAAATCTTGGAGATTGAAGTCAGTACTCACAGGAAGGGCACAGCTGACAGTAGTGACAGTTTCTAATAATCTTTCGATCAAGCACTATGTATGTTGAGGACACATAAAGGCACTTAATAGTGGACACAGCTTAAGCATAGTAAATGGACTTGTTCAACTCCATTGGCTTGGCAGAGGTATAATTATAGGGATCTGGTGGCATCTTTCCAAATAGTACTGCACATATTTACAGTCTAAATTACACTTACTATGTCAGTGACCCTAATGAAATGGGATACATGGATAAAAATACAAAAGCCAGTAAATAAAGCACCATAGGTATATTTTATATAGACATAAGCAACTTTTATTAACACTGCAGTGGCAAATTCTTGTTATGAATGTTCTCCAAACATGAATAACAAAACCCTGGCTCTGAATTTCTATGATCAGATCAACCATTTTCAATGAAGACATGAAGTAACTGTGCAGTTACTTTGTGCCAATAACCATCATGATGAAAACAGAAAATTAGATCTCCACTAAATTCAAAGCATCTGGAACACAACCCTACATGAGCAAGGGAACTATCTTAGGGTACGTCTACACTACAGCGCTAGTTCGAACTAACTTAGTTCGAATTAGTTAATTCGAACTAAGCTAGTTCGAACTAACGCATCTAGAACTAAAAACTAGTTCGAACTAGCGTTTTGCTAGTTCGAACTAGTAAGTCCACATTGAGTGGACTCTGAACAGGGCTTAATGATGGCCGGAAGCAGTGCCGGCAGGGCATAAAAGGAGGACTTAGAGCATGGAGATGCTGTCTCAGGGTAGCCGAGG